CAAGTACTCAACTCAAACATTATTTTTATTTAATTCGATTTGTGAAAAGTATATGAGTTACATTAAAGATTAGATAAAAATCATCGAACAGTATTATTAAATTTTGTAATCTTGATTGGAAAGTGGTGGCTTAATGCACACGTGCTTCAATTTGTAGAAAAAAAAAATGCAATATGTATCTAAAAGTTCACTCACGAGTTTTATCATGACACATACATACAAGATTTCAATCTTGTTATCTGTAAAGCGTGTGTGTGGTTAAAACAAAGTTAGGATGATCTCAGTAACACATTAATGTTACGACTAGATCGATTTAGATATGTGTGTGTGTGTGTATGGTGTATATGAGTATGCTTGTTAATGTTGGTTACTAGTCACACGTACCTATCACCTATTTACCTAACCCTCTCTATATATATATGTATATATATGTAAGGATTATATATACATATGTATGTGGAATGGGTGAGGTATTCGAACGGGACAACCGAAGGGCTAAAGGGCCGTTTCACGGCTCGTTTTGTAGCTAAACGTTCCTGCATAATGCGTTATCGTCATCTATGTAATACAACGTATGGCCTTTATGCTATAGTTACAATTTCTCTGTCTCTCTCTCACTCTCACATACTATGTACTAGACATTAGTATGTGTGTGTGTGTGTGGCAACCACCTGTTTCAAATTACGCTTCTACCCTAATATCGATATTCCAAGCGATACGTGCTGAATCAAATCGAATCCAAGAGAAATGAATTTGTTTATATAATAAAAAAATCAAACTAACGAATAAACGAATATACGAATTAATATTAAAACCTTCCTATCGATATTTTGTGGTATACTTATTCATATCGTATGTTTAAATAACAACGACAAAAAAAACTATGTATTTTTATATAATGTGATAGAATCATCTTCGTTATTTATCAGTGAATTTTTGTATAAATTATTTGACTGCACACGTGGTAAAGTAGTAAAGGTTTAATTTTAATAATAATAATATATATATGAACCGTTTATTTTTAAAGTGGCATAACTCACTTTTTTATATTGAAAATGAAAAGATATCGTTCAATTGTAATTAGTGTTGCCATTAATTTAATTTTTTTGAAAAAGTGACTATTTAAGAATTTGGGTTGGAGACGCTCGTCCCATATTCTACCCCCTTGCAACAACATTCAACCCCGAATATGTTCCGTCATTTTTAACCTTCATTTAAACCATCTATCCCCTTTTTTTACGTCGTTAATCCCGAACGCGTTGCTGGTTTTTAGGTTCCCCAGTCAACCTGTTCAGCGTCGTACTTGATAGATCTTTTACTGAATTATTTTTCTCTCGTTGTTGCATGATTGTAGAAGTGGGTTTTTCGATGCAAAACCTCCATCCAGGACGAGCACCCATATGTAGGATTCGTGAAAAAAATTGGGCCGTTGGAACTGACTGGACCGGGATTCGAACCCACGGGGGGAGGATCTTTCAATTTTCGGACGACTGCTCTTTACCCATTGAGCTATCCAGGGCTCACGTCTAATTTCTTCACGAATGCCCATTTAAGAATTTGGTTTGGAGGGCGCTCGTCCCACATATGAGCCGTTTATTTTGAAAGTGGCCTAACTCCATTTACCTTCAAATCGAGATACTTAAAGTTTTGTGTTTCAACGCAATTAAAAATATACGTACAGAATACCAATGAGTTATGCTTCTTAAGTGTATCTAAAGGTGTTAAATTTACAGTTCTTATTAAAATAATGGCAATTATTAAGTGAATAATATGCGTTTTCTTACCAAGAATGGAGTTAGGCCACTTTCAAAATAAACAACCAGATTCGTTATAAAATTTGAAGGAACCGAAGTCCATTAAACATAATTTAAGATGTTTCAAATTGAAAAAAACAATACTCATTTTATTTTACATATCTTTATAACACTTTAAAAACATAAATTATGCGATTCAAAATATTTTTTACAAACATAAATTACAAAACAATTTTCTACTCATCTACA